TCCCTACAGGACAAACGCCAGATAGGGTTACCAGATCCAGGGTGGGAAACGCCCAGAGATTTGGGGATGGAGCCTGGAGAGGACAGGGACCTCAGTGGGATACAATACCATGGATTCCACCTTCCAAAACATCCATTTTCTCCAGGGCAACTGATTTCTGGAGTTGAGCAGTAATTCCAGGGGATCCCTGGGTCCCACCTGGAGGCTGGAATCCCTAACGCCACAGCTAGACACACGGTTTTCTCCACAAGCAGAAAAGTAGTTTTGTTAGGTTGGGGAGGGGAGTAGGAAGAAATAGAGTGGGAAAATGGCCCCTCCTCGCCACTGCTGCACTCAAGACTTCACCCCCCACAGCCGGGTTTTGTGCTTTAAAAAACTACATTGTGAGACACTCAGTTGGAGCCTAAAGTGGTATCCTGTGGTAGAGGGGCAGTTCCAAAGTTTCCCTGCCATCAACTTCATTCAGACCAGAAGTGCATAAGATACAACAGTTATAAGTGCATTTTCTGAAGACACAACAGTTTTTCCGGGCTTTCTCTCAGCTCTTGTGTCTATCCTCCCACCTAGAGATGTGAAGGCCCGGGAAAAAACCGAAAAAATTCGGGGGGGAAACAGGTTTTTCCCATTTTTTTTCCTGGAGCCTTCTTTGTTTTTTTCTGAAAAATTGAAAAAAGAAAATTTTAAAAAATTGATTATGGAACATTTTTTAACATGATGAATAAAATACTTTAAGACAAGGTATTCAAATATTTTCCAAATCATTTCTAAAAAATACGTATGGTATCAGATTGATCTAATTTCTGTGCACTAAGGACAAGCAAGTCCTAGGTTACAAACTGAACTCTCCAATGCAAGAACAAGATGCATTTCTTCCTTTAGGAGGTGCTATTGTCACAAGAAAAAGGTTTCAGTTTTGTTTTTGCATGTGGGTGGGTATTCTGTTTGTAATAATTGTTTGGATACACACTATTTTTAATATGCTAGTTGTGATAATTTCATGCCAAGTAAAAACGTCCATAGTCATATTTTATGTTCCTAAAGTAATAGAATGACTTTCAATCTGGAAAAGAAAAAATAAGTGCTAATGTAGCATTTTTTTCCATTTTTCCAAAAATTTCCAATTTTTTTCAAAAAAGGGGGGGAGGAAACAGCTTTTTTCCTGAGCTTCAAAATTTCTGGAAATTTTACATCTCTACTCCCGCACCTGGGCATGGATTCCTCCTCTCATGCATTATGGTGTAGCAGTATGTCTAAAACTTATGAAATATTTTATTCATTATTTATAGACCACTTTCCCTGCATAACATAGGTCTAGAGTTAGAATACAGTCATTTGGGAGGGGGTCTTTTGAAGAGCTTTTACAAGGGGTTGCCTGGCAACAGAAATTGGACCTGTTTGGTTCACTCATGAGACCTTGGCCCTTTCTGCACCCGTATTTTGCCTTGGTTCCTGAGAACATCCTATTCTTCCATTCTGCACTCCCTCCTGCTGTCACTCCCAGTTTGTGTCGGGGCTTTCTCTTGTTTCTGCATTTGTTTTACAGGAATCTGCATTCAGACCGCTTCCAGCACACTGTTGCCCCACCACTGACAGAATTCCTTTTGCTGCAAATCTTTGTTCTCATCCACTTTTGAATCACTAATACTTTCTAAAGTAGAATTGTTTCTGTGGGTATTTAGGTGCTGCCCATTGCCCTCCCCCATTTCTCCCTCTCTCTCTTTAGGCTGACGCTCCCCTCCCCATTCTGTCTTCTTTCCCTTCTGCTCCAAAGACAAAAGAGGATGTGTCCTTCTGCTCAGGCAAACTTTTAAGGAGCCAGAGAGAGTCCAGAGGAAGGAATCAGTAAATATAAAGGGCTAGGGGATTCCCCGCTCCCAAATGTTTCAGTCTTGCATGTGGGGGCCTGGATTTCCCCCTCCCTTCCCTTTCTTTTTGCAGAATAATGGAGGGGGGGGTTGGGTATGCAGTTAAACGTTTTGAAAGATGCTTGCCTTTCTCTTCATCTTTGACAGAGAGGCCAGTTAGCTCAAAAAGTGCGGGTTTTGCTTGTAGATGCAGAATGCATACAGAATACAAATGAATACACTGGAGTGGAAAAGAATCAATGCAGAGGGAATGCGTGTGATTGCGAAGTCAACCCTTAAGGCTTGACTCCTCGCATTCTCTGGAGCAAGCTGTCAGTGCAGAAAGGGCCCTTGTGAGGTCAGGGTTGCCACCTCTGGGTTGGGAAATACCTGGAGATCTGGGGGGCGGAGGCTGAGGAGGGCGGGGTTTGGAGAAAGGAGGGACTTCAGTGGGGCATAAGGATACAGAATCCACGTTTCAAACCAGCCATTTTCTCCAGTTGAACTTATTTGTATCGCCTGGAAATCAGTTGTAATCCCAGGATATCTCCAGTCACCACCTGGAGGTTAGCAGCCCTGTGTGAGGGGTAGTAGTCGTTCTGGACTAGGCTCTGGGAGACCCAGGTTCAAATTCCCTCTCTGCCATGAGGCATCAGAGTGATTTTGAACCAATCACTTTCTCTGCCTCACTGACATCAGAGGGGTTGCTGTGAGGGAAATCCAGGGGAAGAAGAGCCATGTTGGGAAATACCTGGAGATCTGGGGGGTTTACTGCCCTAAACTCCTTGGAGTGAGGGTGGGGAATAAAATGAACTCACCAGACAGACAAGATAGATGCCTGGAGGAAGGAAAAGAGACTGCCTGTGTGTTGGAGATAACTGAGGCGTTTCTGACGAGGTACCATGGTTTCTACTGAAGCAGCAGTTCTTCCAAGGAAGAAGACAACCTGCGTAGCAGTTGTGGACAGGACAGTGGCCACCCTCTGGTGTGAGCCTTTTCTGTTTCTCAGCTCTTGTGGAATTTTTGCTCTGAGGAAAAGCTGAAGTAGCGCTTCGCCCCTACGCACATACACACACTGCTGGTATCCCATGCCAGGTTTTCAGCCCCATGCAAACTTGCTTTTCATTACAAATAAATATCATTTGGGCAAAGTCAAATATGACTGAGGGTTGCATGCAGCTTTGAGCATTAACAGAAGTGATAGAAATGTCTGTTTCTGCTGAGAAAGTTGTCCAGATATGCAGTAAAGAATACCATTTGCTT